GGATCCGGCTAAAATTTTTTGGTTCAGATTCCGGCCTTTGCGGTTCCGGCGAAGCACTAATGGCGACCATTAGTCTCTTTCAGAGGCATTTCCTCAATTTCGAATAACCTCTCAATAAGCGATTATCAATGTTTAGATAATAAAAATAATTAGTTAACACAAACCTATTATTAAACAGATACTCTATATTCTTTGTTTGTTTTCAATTCGTAAGCTAATGGCAAAAAGTAATTGTTATAAAATTATGTTCGTTATGGGGGTATTTGATATGGCAGGACTTTTATTTGTTGGATTTTTAACCGGATATTTGGGATATTTCGGATATGTTTTTTGTTCTTCTCCAAAATTAATTTATTTTGCTGGAGCATATGGATGTTGTATGTGTTTTTAATGATTTAATGATATTTAATTATTAGTTTGCTGGTCTACTGAATCTATAACGGCCGGAATTTTAGCCTTGAATCGTAATGTTGAAATATGTGACTTCGACTTGTCTAGAAAACTTTTTAGTGGTAGGAAAATAAATAGCAATATTACTCTGTCCCTAAAAAATTAGAAAAAAGGACGTTATGAAACATCATCTTTCAAATATGTAATTTGCCATAAAACGAGAAAAAAATAAGAAAAATAGAAAGGGAAAAGGGGGCGATTCCAAACTATTTCCAAATACCGTCTTTGCTCTAATTGAATGACAGTCATTCTATTTTTCATATGCCCCAAAAAAGTGTCATTCATTTAGAGATGTCATTCAAATGGATCTGTCATTCTATTTTTCATAGGTCAGAAATACAGATAGGATGAATCGAATATCCCATCTAATATTTCTGAATTCGTAATTTTACCGATTTTTTTGGTTTTCTATAGTTTGGTTTTCGAAATTTTCGGTTTCAGGATTTCAAAATTTTACCGACATTTGGGTTTCGATAGTTTGTGCTATTGAGGAATTTGGGCATGATATAGAGTGATAAGCCATTTAGAGTTATTTTGAAGGATTATATTAGGTTATGATGGACATCAGGAAATTTGTTGGGATTCGGAGGGATATTGAAGTAGTTGGAGAATATCAAGTGATTAAGGAGATATAGTATTTGTAGGACTGTTAATATTTGTAGGACTTAATGGGATATCAGTAATTTGGAGGACATAAATTTCTTTTTTTACAAAATATTAAGATAATTCATATCTAAAAATATCAGAATCCAAATCCATCCATATCTCCAGATATGACTCAGTTCATCTTATATCCCTGATATACTTCAAATCCTCTATATCATTCCAAATCCTTACTTACCCTCTTAATATCTCTTGATCTACGAATCACTAAAACGTCCTCTAATCATTTCAATCTCTCGATATTTTCCCCAAATCCTTTTAATCTCTTGTATATCCCTTTTTCCTCCCAAATCCCCTGATATCCCTCTTAATCCGCTTCATATCCCTCTTAATCCCTTCAAAATATCACATTTATACATACTAAAAAGGAATATTAAACTAAAGGGATAGAGATATAAGAGTTAATAGTTAATATTTAAAAAATGTCATTCAATTAGAGATGTCATTCAATTGGAGGCTGTCATTCTATTTTTCATATACCCCTAAAAATGTCATTCAATTAGAGATGTCATTCAATAAGAGATGTCATTTAATTAGAGCAAATACTTTATGTATATTTAAAATAAGATATTTAAATTAATTAAATAAAATTAAAAATATAAAAGTGCAAAAGGAAAAAATATAAAAAATGGACTTTGTATTTTTCTAATAAAATACAAAGAAGATTTGTTAAATCTGTTCTGTTTTTAACAAAGATAAAAGATAAAAAAGTAATTACCGTATTTCCTCTATTAGAATGACAGTCTCAAGTTGAATGCCAGTCTTTAATATAATGCCACTTTGGAAGGTGATTGAAAAATATGTAGAATGCCAGTCACTTTTTGAATGACACCTTTTTTAATAACGAAAATTTTCCAACTTTAAGAAATATTTGATCTAAAGCTATTTCTATTGATTTTTCCTTATTTTCTTGCCATTTTTCAAAACTAAAGTTCGTCAAAATTGCAAATTCGAGATCCCGTGACGGGATTTTCTAGAAATGTAAATATCGGACCCGTTGAGAGTTAAGGATTTTTACTACATAAATATAGGGAACTTAAGTGAAATCACGGATATCGTGTTTGAACTAGAGTTCAGCGGGATCGGGATCTCGGTCGGGATCGGGCGGGATTATCCCGGGTTTTTCGAATCCCGATCCCGATTTTTTAATCCCGGTCCCGATTCGGGATCTTTCTGGCCAATCCCGATCCCGAGTCGGGATTGGCCAGAAATCCCGATCCCGAGTCAGGATCCGGGATCGGGACCACCATTCCAAAATCCCGGTCCCGGGTTTTTCTCTGAATCCCGATACCGCTGTTACTCTAGTTTGAACTATTAAGAAGAATTCAATGATATTGGGAGATATGTGGCGATTAAAAAGAGATATAAGTGGAAAAAGAGTATTGTGGACCATATCCTCTTAATCACCGAATCTCGCCTTTTTCAATAATAAAAATCACTTATTTGCCCTAAACAAGCTCTCTTAATATGTCACTTGAGGCAATTGAATTTGCCAGAATGGCGGTACGACAATTGAGGATACGCACTTAAGGATATGACAAATGAGGACGACATTTGAGGACGACAATTGAGGATCTGACATATGAGGACGACAAATGAGGACGACATATGAGGATTTGACAAATGAGGATAAAAATGAAAAATAAAAAAGACTTGAAAGATCCATAAAACTCGCAAGACCCCCACTTGGAAGACCAATAATGAAGAATTCTTCTCTTTCCAGCGCCAGCGCTCTTTCCAACTTCTTTCCAACCGGAAGGAGTACTTAATTATTTTTATATTAATTGCTATTCATCTACCAAAAAATATAAAAAATTAAAGAATTATTTTCTTATAGAAAAAGTAGTATAAAAAAATTAATAAAAAATCTTTTTGTTTGCAAACAGGTAATAATTGGTGTAGAGTATTGTTTGCTTGGAATTTTTTATCATGACAATTTATAAATTATTTATATTTTATTTTTTTGTAGCATTAAATTCAGATGGACTATAATAAAAAATTTTATCTACATTCTACACTTGAGAAAATATTTTTTAAGTACTGTATCCGCCATTTCCCGTTGATATTCGAGATTTTGGATCTCGATGAAAAAAGCCCTTTTTCTACTTATTATCAAAGGAAAAGTTTACGCAAATTTTTGAAGAATTTTTCGAGCATTCCTAATATGATTTCTGAAGGTGAGGTTATAGTTAAGTAGAGGGTGTTTTTTGAAAAAATTGGATAAAAAATTTTTGAACAAAAATTTTTTTCTATTTCTAGGGTTTATATTAATTGATACCTGATTTGATTAATATAAAATAAAAATCAGCCCGATTGATTCAGTAGAAGTTAAGAAATTTGAAAATTTAGGGTGAGGTTATAGTTATGTGGAGCAGTGTACTACATATGTATCATATCATACAATAAGAATTACATTTGCAATAAGAATTACATTTCCTTGGTTCACCTAAAATCCCAAAATTTTCGCTTGCGGCGCTGTAAAAGTAAGTTGGATGGTATATCGGAAGATTTGGATGGATGAAGATGGATTTTGAGTTACATTATGTGAGTTCAAGAGGTAATAGGTAATATAGAAGGATTTGGGTGTGATGTCGAGGGATTGAGCTGTGCAACGGAGATACCAAGGATTGGATAGCTGGGGATTTGGGCTTCTAAAACTTGGAATTTCTCACTTGGTCTTCCTAAATTCACAAAATTTTCGCCTGCGGCGCTAAAAAAGAAGGATAAATATGGTATTATTTAAAATTCGCATGAATTAATGGAGATGTGGAGTGACATTTGGGGATTTCGATGTATCAATAGTTATAATGGCATATCGGTAATTTGATATCTAGGGATCTAGTGGGATTAAGGATAATTCGAAGAAATTCGGGGATCAAAGGATATCATGAAGTTGGTGAGATATTGGGCATAACAGGAAATTTGGAATTTGGATTGTTATAAGCTTATTTGCCTCAACAACTCAGAAACTTTTTTGCCGACTTACATATTACTGTTCGATATAAAATAAAATTTATTATGAAGAATATTTTTTTAATTTTGACTCAACTTTTAACATTTTTGGTAAAAATAAAACTAGGTAACTTTAGCTTCTAAAATATTAAGCATACTTTTCTTATAAATTTACTAAAAAAGATTTTTTTGACTTTTGATTTTTTTGAATATTTTTACACTTTTTTTTGATTAACTTTATAACTACTCAAGTTTTTATATAATTTATTATTTTTTTTGACGTCAAAACACAAGATATAATAATTTTTTATGTTTTGTGCCTAAAGACCTTCAATTAAAAACAAAAACAATTTATTAAAAAATTATACTTTAATTTTTATGAAAAAATTAATTAATTTCGATAGGCGTGTATGCAGATTTTCAAACAAATTTTAGTATAAAACTTGAAGAAATTTTATTAGATTTAACATTTAAATACCCTCATAGTAAGAGTCGCTCATAGGCCTTTCTTATCTAAATTTCCGAATTTTCGGACTTTTCTGTTGTAATCCCGCAACTCTTTATCTGTAGTAGTTGATCATAATTTTGCTTAATATCACTGGATCACATTGAATCAATCTAAAATTATTTTCATTCGCTCAGCTCGATGAGCTCTCTCGAATAAGCTCTTATCAGTATATACGAAATTCTTTACCCTTAATCAAGAGCTTGGTACTCCTAATTTTTTCAATTTCCGAAGACTTACTTATCTAAATCCCCGGGCTTTTCTGTTCAAAGAGAGTGATAACATTCGAATTTAACTCAAAAGACGTTTTAATAAAATCTGTACTTTCGAGTTGAAGTTTTGTTGCTTAAGCATAAATAAATTTTTATTTTTATTAACCATCCTTCTTTGCATCGTTTCAATTTATTTTTAAAATGTTTGATTTAAGGATAAAAATGAATAAATTCCACATTCTTTTACTTCTACTAGTGATTTTTACTATTACCGTATTGTGTGAAGCAACACAAACTGCTGCTCTTGCTAATTCTGATTCTCAGTAAAAAGAAAAATTCTTAATTTTATTAATCTATTTTTTTAAATTTTTAGTATGTTGGGAAAAAGGGAGGTTGCAGCAATAAGAGCAAAACGCTTTGGATGGGGGTGATTATCTATTTTTAAATTTAATTATGTCTTTAAAAATTTAATTTGCATTATTCCTATAGTTTTTCGGGTTCGGCTATTATTTTAATTTAGAATTATTAATTATATTATCCCCTGATATCCCTCTTAATCCGCTTCATATCCCTCTTAATCCCTTCAAAATATCACATTTATACATACTAAAAAGGAATATTAAACTAAAGGGATAGAGATATAAGAGTTAATAGTTAATATTTAAAAAATGTCATTCAATTAGAGATGTCATTCAATTGGAGGCTGTCATTCTATTTTTCATATACCCCTAAAAATGTCATTCAATTAGAGATGTCATTCAATAAGAGATGTCATTTAATTAGAGCAAATACTTTATGTATATTTAAAATAAGATATTTAAATTAATTAAATAAAATTAAAAATATAAAAGTGCAAAAGGAAAAAATATAAAAAATGGACTTTGTATTTTTCTAATAAAATACAAAGAAGATTTGTTAAATCTGTTCTGTTTTTAACAAAGATAAAAGATAAAAAAGTAATTACCGTATTTCCTCTATTAGAATGACAGTCTCAAGTTGAATGCCAGTCTTTAATATAATGCCACTTTGGAAGGTGATTGAAAAATATGTAGAATGCCAGTCACTTTTTGAATGACACCTTTTTTAATAACGAAAATTTTCCAACTTTAAGAAATATTTGATCTAAAGCTATTTCTATTGATTTTTCCTTATTTTCTTGCCATTTTTCAAAACTAAAGTTCGTCAAAATTGCAAATTCGAGATCCCGTGACGGGATTTTCTAGAAATGTAAATATCGGACCCGTTGAGAGTTAAGGATTTTTACTACATAAATATAGGGAACTTAAGTGAAATCACGGATATCGTGTTTGAACTAGAGTTCAGCGGGATCGGGATCTCGGTCGGGATCGGGCGGGATTATCCCGGGTTTTTCGAATCCCGATCCCGATTTTTTAATCCCGGTCCCGATTCGGGATCTTTCTGGCCAATCCCGATCCCGAGTCGGGATTGGCCAGAAATCCCGATCCCGAGTCAGGATCCGGGATCGGGACCACCATTCCAAAATCCCGGTCCCGGGTTTTTCTCTGAATCCCGATACCGCTGTTACTCTAGTTTGAACTATTAAGAAGAATTCAATGATATTGGGAGATATGTGGCGATTAAAAAGAGATATAAGTGGAAAAAGAGTATTGTGGACCATATCCTCTTAATCACCGAATCTCGCCTTTTTCAATAATAAAAATCACTTATTTGCCCTAAACAAGCTCTCTTAATATGTCACTTGAGGCAATTGAATTTGCCAGAATGGCGGTACGACAATTGAGGATACGCACTTAAGGATATGACAAATGAGGACGACATTTGAGGACGACAATTGAGGATCTGACATATGAGGACGACAAATGAGGACGACATATGAGGATTTGACAAATGAGGATAAAAATGAAAAATAAAAAAGACTTGAAAGATCCATAAAACTCGCAAGACCCCCACTTGGAAGACCAATAATGAAGAATTCTTCTCTTTCCAGCGCCAGCGCTCTTTCCAACTTCTTTCCAACCGGAAGGAGTACTTAATTATTTTTATATTAATTGCTATTCATCTACCAAAAAATATAAAAAATTAAAGAATTATTTTCTTATAGAAAAAGTAGTATAAAAAAATTAATAAAAAATCTTTTTGTTTGCAAACAGGTAATAATTGGTGTAGAGTATTGTTTGCTTGGAATTTTTTATCATGACAATTTATAAATTATTTATATTTTATTTTTTTGTAGCATTAAATTCAGATGGACTATAATAAAAAATTTTATCTACATTCTACACTTGAGAAAATATTTTTTAAGTACTGTATCCGCCATTTCCCGTTGATATTCGAGATTTTGGATCTCGATGAAAAAAGCCCTTTTTCTACTTATTATCAAAGGAAAAGTTTACGCAAATTTTTGAAGAATTTTTCGAGCATTCCTAATATGATTTCTGAAGGTGAGGTTATAGTTAAGTAGAGGGTGTTTTTTGAAAAAATTGGATAAAAAATTTTTGAACAAAAATTTTTTTCTATTTCTAGGGTTTATATTAATTGATACCTGATTTGATTAATATAAAATAAAAATCAGCCCGATTGATTCAGTAGAAGTTAAGAAATTTGAAAATTTAGGGTGAGGTTATAGTTATGTGGAGCAGTGTACTACATATGTATCATATCATACAATAAGAATTACATTTGCAATAAGAATTACATTTCCTTGGTTCACCTAAAATCCCAAAATTTTCGCTTGCGGCGCTGTAAAAGTAAGTTGGATGGTATATCGGAAGATTTGGATGGATGAAGATGGATTTTGAGTTACATTATGTGAGTTCAAGAGGTAATAGGTAATATAGAAGGATTTGGGTGTGATGTCGAGGGATTGAGCTGTGCAACGGAGATACCAAGGATTGGATAGCTGGGGATTTGGGCTTCTAAAACTTGGAATTTCTCACTTGGTCTTCCTAAATTCACAAAATTTTCGCCTGCGGCGCTAAAAAAGAAGGATAAATATGGTATTATTTAAAATTCGCATGAATTAATGGAGATGTGGAGTGACATTTGGGGATTTCGATGTATCAATAGTTATAATGGCATATCGGTAATTTGATATCTAGGGATCTAGTGGGATTAAGGATAATTCGAAGAAATTCGGGGATCAAAGGATATCATGAAGTTGGTGAGATATTGGGCATAACAGGAAATTTGGAATTTGGATTGTTATAAGCTTATTTGCCTCAACAACTCAGAAACTTTTTTGCCGACTTACATATTACTGTTCGATATAAAATAAAATTTATTATGAAGAATATTTTTTTAATTTTGACTCAACTTTTAACATTTTTGGTAAAAATAAAACTAGGTAACTTTAGCTTCTAAAATATTAAGCATACTTTTCTTATAAATTTACTAAAAAAGATTTTTTTGACTTTTGATTTTTTTGAATATTTTTACACTTTTTTTTGATTAACTTTATAACTACTCAAGTTTTTATATAATTTATTATTTTTTTTGACGTCAAAACACAAGATATAATAATTTTTTATGTTTTGTGCCTAAAGACCTTCAATTAAAAACAAAAACAATTTATTAAAAAATTATACTTTAATTTTTATGAAAAAATTAATTAATTTCGATAGGCGTGTATGCAGATTTTCAAACAAATTTTAGTATAAAACTTGAAGAAATTTTATTAGATTTAACATTTAAATACCCTCATAGTAAGAGTCGCTCATAGGCCTTTCTTATCTAAATTTCCGAATTTTCGGACTTTTCTGTTGTAATCCCGCAACTCTTTATCTGTAGTAGTTGATCATAATTTTGCTTAATATCACTGGATCACATTGAATCAATCTAAAATTATTTTCATTCGCTCAGCTCGATGAGCTCTCTCGAATAAGCTCTTATCAGTATATACGAAATTCTTTACCCTTAATCAAGAGCTTGGTACTCCTAATTTTTTCAATTTCCGAAGACTTACTTATCTAAATCCCCGGGCTTTTCTGTTCAAAGAGAGTGATAACATTCGAATTTAACTCAAAAGACGTTTTAATAAAATCTGTACTTTCGAGTTGAAGTTTTGTTGCTTAAGCATAAATAAATTTTTATTTTTATTAACCATCCTTCTTTGCATCGTTTCAATTTATTTTTAAAATGTTTGATTTAAGGATAAAAATGAATAAATTCCACATTCTTTTACTTCTACTAGTGATTTTTACTATTACCGTATTGTGTGAAGCAACACAAACTGCTGCTCTTGCTAATTCTGATTCTCAGTAAAAAGAAAAATTCTTAATTTTATTAATCTATTTTTTTAAATTTTTAGTATGTTGGGAAAAAGGGAGGTTGCAGCAATAAGAGCAAAACGCTTTGGATGGGGGTGATTATCTATTTTTAAATTTAATTATGTCTTTAAAAATTTAATTTGCATTATTCCTATAGTTTTTCGGGTTCGGCTATTATTTTAATTTAGAATTATTAATTATATTATTTAGTTTAGATAGTAGTTGTATAGATTTTTAATTTAAAACACATTTAAGATGTCATAAATTTTTTGATTCGGCATAAGTTATGATAATCTCATTTGGATAAGTTGGAAAGAGATAAATCTTGCTGTATGAATAATATGGGTCTGAAAAATATTGTCTGAAAAAATATTTTCTATATTTATTTAGGACCTAGCTACATTACATTTAGACATCGTTAAAAATACCTACTAGATACACCTTAGTTAAGATAAATTTTACAAAATTCACAGTATGGACTAAGGCATGTGGTACGCAAGTCTAGATTTCATAATTTTTCAAATAGAATATATATTTGTATATATAATAATATATTTAATAATAATATATATAATAATATATTTCAAATAATAAATATATATATATATATATATATATATATATATATATATATATATATATATATATATATATATATATATATATATATATATATATATATATATATATATATATATATATATATATATATATATATATATATATATATATATATATATATATATATATATATATATATATATATATATATATATATATATATATATATATATATATATATATATATATATATATATATATATATATATATATATATATATATATATATATATATATATATATATATATATATATATATATATATATATATATATATATATATATATATATATATATATATATATATGCAAAAATTGCGTTGATTTAATTACTTCAGGAAAAAATATATTTGGCTACAGTGTGGGTAGTCTGCCGAAACGATCTCTCTATTCAAGGTGCCTAAATGATCCCTATATTTCTCATAATAAGATAAAAAATTTTTTTCCAATCTCAAGAGTGTATTTAGTGTGTGGTAGACTCTATATCTTTAATATCTTTATAAAATTATGTAGAACCTTTTAATTAAAAATATTTTTTTCTAGTTGCTGTGGTGGAGGCGGTATCGGACTCTTCTGGGGCGGCCGATGATTCTTTATTAAAAAGAATTATTTGCGAAAATAAATAGAAATATAAAATAATGATATAAAGAATTAATATTAAATTAGAAAATTACTTTATTTTTAGTATTGTTTAGATTTTTATTTTTAAATTAATAAAAGAATTTAATTTTGACATCTAAAATTTTAATAAGTTTTGAAATCTGAGTATTTTTTAGCTCCGAACTTCTAGCTTTCTTTCTTTTGGGAAATTTATAGTGCCTTTAGAATGCCTTTGTTAATTAGTGTTTGATTGAAGATAGAAATTGTCTGTATAAAAATTGACTGTAAACTTTTATTTTGATAAATCGGCCAGTTAAACCTGACAGATGTGCTATATCCAGTAATTCATACATATAGCTATTGTATTGCTAGGCTGTGCAGTAGGCAGCGTGGTATAATGGTTAACACATCAGTCCGGGCTACGGAAGATGCTGGTCGCTCCCAGCCGCAGGATAACCTCTTGCACTAATCTATTTTAGCCAGTTTAATAAAAAAATCCCTCTAAATCAACAGTTAGATGCTTTCTTGCATTTAGATCGTTTTCATATTAAAAAAATGTTGCTTACACACTACTAGTAGTGCAAAAGGAACACAAAAATACTTTTTTACTAATTTTTAGTTTTTAGTCTGTTTTTATTACCTAAAATTTTTTCTACATTTTTTACGTCAAAAAAAACTGAAAAATTATTCTTTCCTCTTTAAAAGGATCAACCTTTATTTGCAAATATAAATATTTATTTAGAGTAAATTAATTGTAATGTAGAAACACTATTTTGTTCATTAATTAAGGCAATTAAATTCTTTTTAGTTTTTATTAGATAGGCGTGTTCTTTAAAAATTCTTTTGGGTAATTTTGTATAAAATAAATAAAACTTGACAGGGTTTTTGGCAGTTTTTAATAAATTATAGTGAAGAAGTAAGTTCCGTTCGAGTTTATAACTCTTAAATAAATACCCAAATATTTCAATTCTTGATATCATTCTGTAAAAAAATTAATTCTCTATTAAATTAAACTAGAATAAAACTATTATTTTGTATTTGTTTAAAAACTATTCGAGTCCCCTTATCTTCCTTCAATCCTATTCTGATTTTTACTTGTTACTTTCTGAATTAATTTAAATCTTGATATCTTTAACTTTCCCTTGATAATTAAATTCCGTAATCTAAGAATTTATTTTATATTCGATTTTATGAAGAATTTAATTATCAAGGGAAAGTTAAAGATATCAAGAATTAAAAATAATTTAGAAACTAACATATGGAAAGTAGTTGTAGAAAAACACGTCAAAACCTTAGAGAACCCTAATTTTTATCTTAAAATTATTTAATTTTGATTGTTACTTTCAAAATTCTAAATTTTTTGCATTATTCAGTAGTTTAAGAGAAAAAATTACTATTACACAAAAATAATTTTTATTCATTTTTAATTCAAAATTTAATTTTTAAAATTTAATATTAACTAAATTAAATAGTTTTTACATAGATATTTTAATTAGAATAAATTACAAAAAATGAACAAATTTTATATTTATGTTTGCCTTATTGCAGTACTTTTGGCATTTATTGTAGTGACCGAAGCCACTAAAGGAACATCAACGGGAAATGAGGAAAAGCCTGTTGATTCTGAGTAAACTTGATTAAAAATTTTAGAGGATTCAAATATTATTTTAAAAATCAAAAAAAAATTTTAAAAAAATTTTTAAAAATCAAAAAAATTTTTTCAGCAGTGCGTCGTTGATAAGGGAATCGAGAGCTACTCGTGTTAAACGCTTTGGATGGGGGTAAATTTATTTTTAATACTTTTTAAAATTGTCGAAGATTATATACCCTTTTTATCAAATATTTACCCCTTCCAGCGAGAAATATTTTAAAATTTTTTAAAAGAAAAAAATTCAATTTTAAATTTAAGTTGCTGTGGTTGTGGCTGTGGATGTTGCGGCGGATTTGGCGGTATAGGACTCTTCGCCTTTGGAAAATAAATAGAAAATCTTAAAAAGAATATAAAGGCTGATAAAATAAATAGAATTAGGATAAATTTGTTCTATTTTTATATTTTTAAAAATTAATAAAATTTGAAGTTGGTTGCTAGTTTATGATGAAATGGTCATCCACATTAAGGTTGCCAAAATGCACCGACTCGGAACGAAAGATCGAGTCGGGCCTATGTAATTTGGCCTGAAAAAGGCTCTACGACTCGATGAAGTTAGGCCCGAAAGGGACTCGTGCATGACCGATTTAAAAAAGAGGTCCAAAAGAAATGGTCCGACTGACAAAAAACGTCAACACTAATCACTCGAGTTAGGATTTTTAGGCACTAAAAAGTTTAAAATAGGCGCTTATATAGGCACTCAAAACTGCCAAAATAGGCACTAAACTCCGAAAAAAACACACATTACAAGAAGTGGACGGAACATATAACTTTAAAAATTTATTTAATTAAATTTCATTAAGCATCTCAAGTTTATTTACCGCCTATGCTTAAATAATTACCCTCCCCCTAATTTTGAAACTTGTATAATTGAATATTAATCACTCACTCGATGAGAAGGAGAAACATTAATTTCCTAGGGTAATTATTGAAGCATATACGTCATTTTATTTTTCACTTCTTTGCCGTTAAATATAGCACCCCTTTGTTGGATAAACGGCATTTTAATGTATTTGGTTGTACATCATTAGGTAGACGATAACATCGATGAATCTCTCTTCTGACAGATCCATTCTCGTCTATAAATTATTTTTAATATTTTTAATTAAAATCTAAAAATATTATTTTACTTGCGCGTGGTTCGTGTAAACAATGGATAAGCACTTCATTTCCAGAAATATTTACCTTTAAATTGTAAACAAAATTATTTTTTTAGAATTAAGTAAAGAATAAGGCGATAAATATTCCATTTTTGTCAAAAAAATGTCATTTTTAAATTTTATTACATTTTTGTTACTTTGTAAATATTACTATTAATGACAAAAATAAAATTTAAAATTAATAATTTAACTTTAATTTTATTATTTCACATTTACCTAATCATAATTTTTTAGTCTATACTAATGGTCGGTAAAATCGCATTCCCGAGATCCAGTAAAGGGATTTTTTAAATTTTTGCGGGACAGTATACCGCGGGATAATCGCGTAAATAGCGATAATCCTGTTCATCGCGTAAAACACCGTATTTTGCGACAGGATCCCATAAAATCGCGTACAGGATCCTGTCGCGTGCTGACTAGTTTATCTAGCGTTTTCGGCGATCTGTTAATTATGCCTGCGGTGGCTCGAATGCTCTTATTATTCCAGCCACCGCAAGAAAAGATTAACAGTTCACTAACAACACTATTTTAACCCTTTTATTTGTCGGCTACATCTATAAACTTTATTTCCATTATATCTTTATAAATTTGAAAATTATGTTTAAACTTAAAAACCTAAAACTAAGCTTAGGCTTAAACTGATTTTACAAATTTGAAAGTAAAAAATGCTAGTTTATTTACCTCAATTTCGCTTGGCAAAAAGAACTGAACATCCAATAAAACTTCAAATTTCTCATCAGTATTGAGTACCTTAACGATACCGTTTGTGTGTTGTAGAGGCCCTAGAAAATATTTTTTAACTTCATTAAACATAACTAACAATCCCATTCACTAGCCACTTCGTGTTCAACTTCAATATTATTTTCATTTGGAATATTAACTGAATGTCTTCTAGGACAAATAAAGTTTTGTGTCCCTTTAGGTTTCTGTATTATTATAAATTTAGGTAGTTGATTAAGAAATTGTACTTCTTCCTCTCCTTTTCCAAAATTTGGATTGGGATTTAAAAAACCTTTCGAATCCATTCAAAAAATTTTTAAAACTTGAATTAATTTATAACGGCTGTAGAATATTTTTTGAAGATATTAATGGTATTCGATAGAGGTATTATTTACAAAATAAAATTTAATTCAAAATTTAAAAAAATAGTTTTATAAATTTATAGGGTACTGCTAACAATACCCATACAAAATACTCATGATTTTTTGTTCGGCGGTGCTTCGTTATCCCCGCAAATCTATTCTTATCCCCCATCCCAAACTATTCTTATCCTACTTTATGGAAATTTAATTCGATATCGAATGGCACCAAATTCTTAAAATAATATTTTTCCCTTTACGAGTTACACATTTCCGAATAATTTTAATTTAAAGCTACAAATAGTCTACCTTACAAAATTTAATTTTTCAAATCTAATTTTTAATTAGATAAATGTGTTTTAGAACTTAAAAAGCAAAGCACAGGTAATCTTTTGTGCTTTAAATTAAATTAAATTTGAGAAAAATAGGAAAAAAATTTTCTAAAAAATAAAGTTAAAGCAACATAATACATACAAGAATTTGTAATTATAAAAGAAAATAAACTTTAAATAAAAGAAAAAAAACAAAGAAAAAAGTAAAGAATATGATCTAAAAATAAATTTAAAAATAAAATAAAAAATTATTTTTAAAGAAAAACAAAAAATTTTTAATAAAAAAATAAATTTTTTAAATAAAAGAAAGAAAAATCATAAGAATTAAATAAAAATTTTACCTTTTTTTATTTTTCAAAGATTAATTTCTTACAAATAGCTAATTTAGAAAAATAGAGAATATTTTAAATTATAAAATAAACAAAAATATTTTTTATTATTTTTTTCGTAGAAGTAATGGAAGGCTTTAAGGGTGCCAAATCGTTTTCTTTTATTAAAAAGAGAAAAAATTTTCTCTTTTTTACAAACAGATTTGGAAGCTCCAGAAAGCCCACCACTTTTTTTACTTCAAAATTTTTTTTCAATTTATTAATTTTTAAAAGGAAAATATTTTTTAAGGATTAAGGAAATGTTGGAAGTCTGGGCGTGTTGAATTTATAATATTTATTTTTATTCATTATTTGAATTCTTATTTAGAAATTTTTTATTTAAAAATTCCATTTGATTATCAGTTTTTATATTATTTAACTTGTTGCTTTTAAATAATGGTTAAGA